GGCAGGGCCGCTTCCCGCCCGCGGCCGCTAGAGGCCCCGCGAAGCCGCCGCTTCGCTCCACACCGGCTTCGAGGACGTTTTTGGGACGAGTTTCTCCTCTCCCTTGGATCCCCCCCCCTACCACCACCCCTGACATTGATCTTCACTTCTCGGGGCCTGAGCTGTACCCGGTCCACTCGGCGTCCGAGGCGCTGGAACCAGGTGTTTAACGTACAGAGTATTTCGACCAAAAGCCTGGTTTGACCCTTAGCCGAATCGAGGGGAACACGCCAGTAATTTATAGCCCACAGATGCCAGGACTCTGTCGAGATCATCTACTACCAGCCTGTATCTCTATTTCAGTCTTTGGATGAAAAAGCAGCATTGATTTCCTGGACTGACAGATCTCTAGGTAAGTCAGTTTGGTGCCCTGCCTGCTTTCTCAGTGTTTATCTTGCAATTTTACGCTCACAGAGGCTAAACTAAAACTTTATTGCACTTCTGTGTTTGGCATTTACATCCTGTTTACGCAAATTCTTCAAACAGCTTGATTTGTAGTAGAGAAAAACAATTCTTGCTGTATCTTTTGAAGTGTCCATCCATTCTGGAAGAGCAGAACTTGTATGGAAATTAAGTAATTTGTCTAGATGTTTTTGTGAATCTTAACTTTCCAGTCTTCCAACAGATTCTGGTCATGTCATTACCAAACCTCAGACTCCGCAAGTTTTATGCACTCATTTTTCTGCTTGCGTCTTAAATTTTTGGCTGCATGAGACTGATTGAAAGGATAGGGCTAGGCTAGAAATTAAGGTTCGGGAACTGCGTTTCTTGCGCGTATCACAACCTCGGTCAAGTACGAACGGACGACTGCATTGCCGTTTTGAACAGCAGGTTGGGGAGGTGGTAGGCTGGGTTTGGTAGGACTCTTCTGACAAGCAGTTTGTGCTGTGCTGTACTGTGGAGGCTGAAAGTGAACTACAAACTGGAGGATAATTGTGGTCCCATCAGAGCCTGTGTGTTCAGATTTAAAATGTACGACAGGGTGAGGAAGGTTGGAAACAAGATCTAGGAATAGCGTCTCTTGTGTCCCCAACACTTGTCATCTTTCAGTCCACGTAGCGTATACTTGTTCTGAAAAACTTTCCAAGACAGCAGCTGTCATCGGACACATGGCTTTGCAACATGAAACACAACAGGGCAGCCGCGAGCAACTTTGATTTTTCTGCCTGAAGCTGCCTCTGCAAAAGGGCTCCCAAGTAAAGCCTGGGAGGGCAACGGTCACGTTCTGCTGGTGGTGGCCCCAGCAGTGCCTAGGAGTCACTGTGTGACCCTGGCAAGCTTCATTACCGTTTTGAGTTCACCAAGGGTCAATTCAGTTGGTTCACGTCATCTCCTAAAAATAAGCTTCTACTCCAGGGCGGACAGATACATTGCATTGCAGTACGAGAGGGTAGGGGAAGGGAAAAAAGTGCAAAAGAAGGTGGGGTTATGTGAGGTATAAAAATGCTGCTGGAAATACTTCCCATTTCATCTGAGCTCTCATTCCTTCCGGTGCTCCCTCCTCTGTATTAATTCTCCCTTCTTTTTTGGCTGCTTGTTGTCAAATTCTGGTCACCTTAAGGCAAAAGCTTTCTCACCATTTTAGCAAACTGAGCCAGGTATGCAAGGGGAAGTTGTTTATTCAGGAGCGTCTTCCAGCAGGAAGCAAAGAACAGCAGCCAATTTGCCTGTGGCAATCAGATACAGGGAAGACACCGCATTATTGAGATCTTAAGTTTTTAGTTAACAGTGCTTGAATAAAAGCACCACCAAAAATGTGTATCAGCCCGAGAGAATAGGGAGAGCCTGTGGCTCTCCTGACCCTCCCCAAGCAGGCTGGGAAGAAAGCTGTTTTCAACACCGGTATGAAGTCACTGTGCTGGAATTGCCAAGTGCTGTTACAAAAGCAGCATGAGACTGTTTCAAATACCTTGCAGCTTTAATGAACTAAGCTTCATAACATCATTGAAAGCTAGGCAAGCATGATTCTCCTCTCAAAAAATGGAAAGCACAGACATTTTAACTTGCAATTTGAAAAGGAACCATCTGAAAATGGCCACAGCTTTCTCACTCTCTCTGCTCCCACCAGATTCCCAAGAATCCCATTGACTGGAAATTACTTTGTTAGTTTTGCAGAGCTGTGGGGAGGACAAGGAGTGTTTTATTCAAGTTTGGATACTGTCAGCACACCAAACTAAGTGCAAAATGAAGTTTGTTGTCCTTTACATTTCTAGCTCTGACAGCAAAGGAGTCAGACAGGTGTAAGGGAAGATGTTCTGAGTGGTGTGTACCAGCAATGGTGTGAGAACCTGCAAGAAAGATGCAGCAGAGCACAGTCGGTGCAACTAAAGCATGCTGACCTTTTCTGTAGCCAGTGGCATGTAAGGGAGACATCGTTAGTGTCCTGTAAACATTGATTCTTTGGTCCAAATAACCAGGCAATTTCAGTGGGGGTGAGGGAACTTTAGGGACACGTCTAAATCTCAAACACACATCTGAATCCATAATGAGAGGCCTTTGCTGCTCTGCATCATGTCCTTCAGACATGCAGGTTCTTCACACCTCCGGCTTTGGCGAGTGAGTGGGTGTTCCTCAGAAAGAAGTCTGAGAAAGTGTAAAATCCCCTTTCAAGTAGCTTGCCCAAGGTTCATGTCTGAGAGATTAGAACCTGATTAATCCTGACTATTGCCTGCTCTCACTGCAGCGATGGTCACAGGGACCAGCTGTAGTGCTACAGCCACTTCTGTTGGGGTACGACTTTAAGGAGGAGAGTAGAAATATCAGCAAGGGAGAGAGTATATGTCTGTCCAAGGCTGGCTTACAGGGCTAACTCTTCAGAAAGTGGACTCAGATAGGAAGCATCTCTAGTATTCATTTCACTGTCTTTAATCAGCCACCTGATTAAAGGTGGTAAGCAGAAGATTCATGAACTTTGATCCTTTAAAAGGCATGTCTACCTGGTGGTTTCCAGGGACCTTTAAGTTTCCCACTGTGGTTTTCTGTGTCATGCTTACTCCCCTGCACTTGTACATTATCTTTGTTACTAAGTGAGGTCTGAGCTTCAAGGTGCACAGAAGGTGGCGTTTGGGAAATGGCTGCCCTAGCTGGTGCATCCTGGGGTGCCCTCTTCTCAGAGACAGCACTTCCACCACTCACATTACACAGCACATGCCGTGGCAGCTTCTCAGTGTGGGTTACCCACTCCTTCACGCAGTCTAAAACGATGGGGATGAGGCTCACCACACCTCCATAATGATTCTTTGCTTCGTGACAGCTCAGGTGATTCATAACATCATGGGGGTATCTGTGGGACAGAAGGAAACAATTGGCAGAGCAGTCCCAGCAATGCAACCCTGGTGAGTCCACAGTGCCACCCTGAGACCCCCTGGGCAGAGCAGATGTGCACAGACAGCCATTTCCCCAAAACAAAAAGGCACGGATAGAATTGCATCTTGAGAAATGAGTCCTGCCAAACACACCACCCTGGCTGCTCGGCTAGATCTGGAAGACTTCAAGAGCATGTACAGACACTTGCCCCACAGAAATTAGCTACATGTAGAGCAGGGATAGGAGGAAGGAGGAGGTAAACTCCCTGAGCATTGCATAGGACCTCAGGGTACTAACCTGCCTGTATATGCCCTTCCATGCACCAGTAAAAAGAATGAATAAACAAGCCAACCCCCATTTTGTGAATGGAGGCTGTCAATATTTTCCCGACAGCTGGAACAGTAAACTAGGTAGCACCCTGCACCCTCACTAAAGCCAGAAAGGTGTTGTAACAGAATTGATGGAGAAGTCAAGTGGGAATATGCACTCTGGTGACAGTCCCCCAGCACTGACGGTCGCCTCAAAGGAACTAAGCTGTTGGAGAGACTTACTTAGCTTGGATGGTGCTCAGATCATTGCTGTGGCTAAGGAGCAGCTTGCATCTCTCCAAAATGCCATTGGTTGTGCTGTTACCAGCATGCACGGTTTCCAGCTTGTGGCAGAGCTTGCTTAGATCATTGCAGATGTTTAGAAACATGTTGAGGATACGCCTGTCTGTGGAATTGTTACAGTGATGGTCCATATAGGACTGTACCTGTACACGGGGAAAGAGAGAGTCATGCATGTCAAATTACATTTAACTTATGCTGCAAGGTTGCTTAGGTGAGTGACGAGAAGCTGCTTTCTCTTGTGACTCTGCAAGTGTGAGCCACTGTGGAAAATGCAATACTGTGGCAGGTAGTAAGATTTCTAGAGCATGTCTGAGATGTTTGCTTGTCATTCATCGTGACTGGAGAAGGCTGGGGTGATGGATCTGCTCATCAGCACACCAGTGACCCTTCCCCTCTCTTTGAAGAAGTGTAGGAGTACCACAGCCAAAACCCACAGCCCTGCTGCAAGCACCGCAGAAACAGGTTGAGCACGAGTGGAGTTTTGTGTCTGCTCTGAGCAGGGCACCCACTGCCACAGCTGCCGAGGCAGAGAGGGGTGGGAGGTGAGGGCAGCAACCAAACTGGGAATGGTTTGGAGTGATGTGTTTGCATCATGCACTCTTCATGGGTCTGTCTTTGGCACCACTAGATGTGACTGCAAACTAAATGCATTTAGCCTAAATTGTCATTACTAACCTGTTACAGGAATGATATTCCCTATTTGCCTTGAGCATTTTGTTACTCAGAGTGAATGGCATTGCATGACGAAACATTATGCCAAGAGATTAAGTATCTTCTCCAAAGAAATTACAGGCACTTCAGACATGAGTGGTCAGAATATAAAATACTGAGTGGCTGGTTGGCAGTCATAGCTGGACTCTAACACCTTCAGTGCTTTCTGTAAGATTTCAAGATAAGAACGAAGTAGCTGTTCCAACATCGGCACAGTTCCTGCATACAAAAAAGCCATGCTATGTGCTCGGGCAAATTCTCAGCAGGTTTGTAAGAAAAATAAAAAATGGCCCCTAAGGGTCCATTTCCACTACAGATTCCTCCTTCCACACTGTTCGCTGAGCATTGTGTCCATGTGAGTGGCAGGATTTTTTATCGCTGCTGTGAGCAGAAATAGTCCTAAAGAGAATAGCATTTTAGCCTGGATGTTCACCGATGAGATAACAGGACTTCTTTTTGTCCACATGAACAACAGAGAGTTAATGCACCTGCATAACCAGGACGGGGACCAGGACTACGTGAACGACAGCTTGCAAGAGCTGGCCAGCTCTGCATTCGCCAGCTGCTGATGAGCAGCTGAGCTGCAGCCAGGGGAGATCACGGACAGCCCCGACGCTGGGCTGATGGCATGACCATGGCCAGGCTCTGCAGTGCAGGGACTCACTGGGTGATTTGAATCTCTGGCTGAAGCAATGACTGCGGAGCTTGTCTCACAAAACCACTCAGGATTTGACTTTATACCCTACTCCACATTGAAGTCTTTAAGGAGCTGTTGCCATTGCCTGACTGTGGTGAGCTCTTCGACCTTTCCACCTTACTATGCTCTCCTCTTTTCTCTGAGAAATGTCATCACTCAACACTAAAAATGCTACCACATACAGCTTTTAGGGGTTAGAAATGCAACCATGTCCAAGTGCGATATCATTTTTTTTCTGTAGTGTCTATGTTTACATGCAAAAAGAAAGCTGGCAGTCAAGTCAGCTGTAGGCTGAGACCACACATATTTCTGCATTTGTTGCTTTTATTCCTGTGCCCTCCCTTGCAAAATTAAAAATAGGGTTGGGCTGATTCAGGAGAATGGTAGTGAAATAAAATGGATGTCTGGTTTTGTCTCCAGTGAACTAACTTTGGTAGCGGTTTGGTTCCTCAACAACGCATCACCAGTATGTGCCGCACCAGTTGCTCCCTGTTCTCCCCAGTAACTTGCTTTTTTCCCTTTCCCATCCTCCCCCTGGGGTAATGTGGTTGTACCCTCAGGGCTATCGGTGCAGTACAGTTTGCCACCACTCAGTTCACATCTTAGTGTATCACAAACGATGCCATGGATCAATGTAATTGCTGAAGTCGTTACCTGCAAGGTTTCACCCCCACAACAAGGAGGCCTTCCGCCTCTGCTAAGAAGCAGAGTCCAAGCTTGCTCAGTACCACTGAAATATGGGCACTTTTAAAAAAACAGCATAATGTTACACTAAATCTCAGTGCCTATTTTTTGGAAAAAAATGGTTGTGTAATGTCTGTCACAATCTTCTTCAATGTTATGAGCAAAGCCCTTATATTAGAGAGAGTCAGCCCTTAGAAAAGACAACCAGCTCACTTCTGTGTCCTAATCCTAGTAACAGCTTGGCTTTCACTCTGGCTTTGGCATCCATCTGGGTTTTGTGCCGGGGTTCTGCAGTCTCAAATCCACAATTCTTATTTTATTTAGATTCTTCTTCCCTCTCTGTCTGCAGGTGGTCTAAGTTCTTCGCACTACTTAAAACACCCCACGTTATAAAAATTCCAAGACAATTCACTTACCAGCCCAGAGAACCCCTTAGCCCACTTGGGACTTTCAGCCCTCAATCCATCATCCTACCTCTGTAACACAGCCATTATTTTTAATAAGCACTATAGAAAGATACAGCAGCACCAATACCAGAGGGAAGAGGCAAGGATGCTGGTTACTACAAGTTAAGGATTACAGATTCCATGTGTGGCTGGGGAAGGAGGGTTGGTTTGATTGTTTTCTTGTACCCTGTATTTCTGACTACGCCTCAGCAGCGAAATGACGGTGTTAAACTATAACATAAAGTGATGCTCAGCAATAAAATTCCTTCTCTGTAAATGGGAAGACCTAACATAGGTATTTCTCTCCCGTACTTAATCTTTTGCCACTGATTTGCAGAGTTATACACAAAAGTTACTAGAGAGTTTTTGTGCATCTTCCCTCAGTAAAAACATTTATTCATCCCTGAACTAGACCCAGGTGCGCCACAGCACTGCGTTGGTCCCTGTTCTCATCGGCAGAGAACTTTGTGCTGAATACTTTGTACCTGGCCGATGCTTGCCACAGGTCTGATCATGTCATGTGCATTCTCTCGGGTGTGTTGCAGTGCTCCGATAAACGTAAACTGCTGCTGCAGGAAGAGCTTGTAGTTCTGCTCTATGTTTCTTAGAGCCTCCTTTACCTCATTCATGTTTCCCCCCTCCTGGATTTTGGGAGAGAAGGTGAGAAAGCAAGCTACTATGCAATTGCTACTATGCAATTCTACATACAGAACTCTATCTTTCACCTGGAATTGTGTAGGTTGGTGGAAAACTTTATTGAAAAAAAAAAATAAGAAAGGAAAAAGAAGAAAAAAAGAGAAGATATATTGTGTCAAAGCTCTGCAGTCCCAGAGCCCCAAACAGTAAGTCAATGAGGTAGTAATGATGCTGCACAAAGAGGCAGAGAACCCAGAGGGGACCACTGACAATCAGATGCCATAAACCCTAGTGGGTCTATTGTAAACATAATGTGGCAATGCATCAAATGCACCGCTGTGAGAGGACCGAAGGGAGAGATGGCTTCTCTTATCCAGTGTAAAACTATTGCCCAAGTGGCTTAAAAACTCGAACATTAAATGAAGCCAGCTCGGCAGGCAGTATATCGTGGCGGAGCTGGGGAGGCCCGGGGCCCTGGTTAACCCCCGTCCCTGCCCACCCGAGGCGGGGGCTCCCAAGGGGCCTGATTTTTCCCGGTGTTGA